GCCATCATAAGCCACTGAAGACTTTGCCTTCTTAGGCCTTTGCCACTAAATGTGGCTAGTGGACTGTATTATACTACTGCAGGTACATTTTTGTCCTTGGTAGCAATCCCCAAAAGCCTATGGGAAATTAAGTTTCCCAAGTCTTTGTTTTGGCAAACACACTTCTTCACAAGTGAGTATTTCTTTTTCACCTGTTATATCTATCTATGTAGTGGTAGAGTGCTACCCCAGGACCATTCTGAGGACAAATAATGTTTTGTCCCATTAAATGTCCCATCAGGTGTCACTAACCAACTAAAATCATTCCTTTTTATAGTGCTGATCTGTTCCATTGTTTTCAAGTTTATCTGTGTATTTTGTTCCTCTAGCAAGTATTATACAAGAACTCATCACTGTCCTCTTTTCACTACCAGTTGTTTTTAAATGTGTCATTATGCTTGAATTCAGCTCCAGTTCTTTGTATACTAGAGTTTTAAAATGTTTTCTGAACAGTTTCCTCTGCATGTTTCTCCATGATACACAAATTGTCTCTGTAAATGGTTTGTCTGTCTTTTTCTTGGGTGATATTTATCCCAAATATTCTATTAAAAATCAACTGAACTGAAAGTGATACTTGATACTAATCTCTAGTCTTTGGGTAAGTATCACACTTTTGTTGTATACAGCATATGAATGAATTAAATTTGCCCATGGTCATCTGTTTCAGGTATACGCCATCTTCTCGGCAGGCTGGTCAAGAGGAAGGGAAAGAGTGGCTACGTTCCCATTCTACTGGAGGGCTACAGGACACTGGAAATCAGTCTCCCTTGGTATCTCCTACAGCTATGTCTTCCTCTGCAACTGGGAAATATTTCTCTAATTTAGGTAAGAAGAAATAATTTGCAGTGTTACTTTATTCATTTTAATTTTTCAGAAGCATATCCTTCATTCATCTGGCACCTCACAAGTAATTCCTATGTGTTTCCATATTAAGTTCTCTCATGTCAGTTACCAGGACTGCTGAGGTTTTTTTGCAAAATGTTCTCTTTCACCCTTCTGTGTGTCATTTTCCCATGAAGTTAAGGGCCTTTCAGAAATGTTTTCGCTATTTATTTCAAAACAAGCACAGCTGAAAGTGGTTTGGTTTAACACATTTGCTCAAAATATTTGACACTGTGTGAAAAAAAAGATGATAAATCGTGCCTTCTCTAAAGAAACATTAATTAGAAGGATCAAAAGTCTTCTCCATAAGATCCTTCCAAATGATGATTCCCACTTACTGTGTGTGTGGGAGGGATGAAAAGAAAGAAGTATATATTTGAAATTTTGGCTAAAAATCTCTCTGTACCATGGAATGATCAAGTGTCATATATTTAGGATCATAAATCATAAATCGTTTGTATATTAGATAATCTGTTGTAACTAAGAAAAAAATGTCAAAGTGTACAACTTTGCCTAGGCCAAGAACTTTATTTGGAGATGGGCCATGGAAAAATTTAAATTTTATCTATCTTTACATTTAACTAAAATTACATATAACTAATACAATTCCTTATTTAATTGTTTACCTATTCAATCAAGAAAAAAATACAATTTGCTAAGAACTTCTGGAGGACACTGGAGGCTACATCTAAAACCTTTGGAGCCACATATGACCCTAAAGCCACATGCTATGCTAGGGAGTACCATGAGGTTAAATTCATCCTAGAAGTGGTATTAATTGTTTATAAAGCATAACCAAGATGTCACTTAATTCAATGGATTTTCCCTAGAAGGTACAGTAGTGTTTCATCCAAACGTATTAAAACTTTTGTTTGACATTGCAGTAAGTCCAACAAATTTATCTCAGTTCAAACTTCCTGGACCAAGTATGATGCGATCAAACAGCATCCCTGCTCAAGATTCTTCTTTTGATCTCTATGATGATTCTCAGCTGTGTGGTAGTGCCACATCCTTAGAGGACAGACCACGTGCAATTAGTCATTCTGGTTCATTCAGAGATAGCATGGAAGAAGGTAAGGGGGTATAAAGTAGTATAGCATGAACAATGGTTCCTTTTCTCGTTACTGTGTAACCTGCATTGAACAACTAATAGTAATAGATATATTACAAGCAAATCATGGATTTGAACTGATTCTTGGGTTTGTTTCCTGTCTGCTTGGAATTCATTCTTACTTCCATAGTTCAGTAGCCTTTGAAAGCAGAACAATACTCTTAAGTATGGTTTGTCAATAGTTAAAATAAAATCAATACTTTCTTAAGTATAATAGGCCTATTCTGTCCTTCCTTAATATTTTCATCACTTCTCTTTGTTAAGCTGCAACAATTATACATATATATTGCCTTTTATGATTCTTCCTGGAACAGTTATTCACAGCCACACCAGTAACTAAGTTGCTGAAGATTTTTAATGAAATAAAAATCATATAAAATGAAATCAATCTTAGTTATGATCATCAACCTGATTTTCATCAACCTGATTTTCTCATCATGAGTGCTGATTCCTTACATATACACTGCATGTTTGTATAAAAACATTGTTTTTGTTTACACCAAGGTGTTCCTTCTGTTTTTTTGTGTAGATCTGGCAGCATCCCAAAATTAATAAGCATTTGATTCTGGCACCTGCAGCAAATCCAGCTCATTTTATTCTTCTGCATTTTCAACAAGCTGAGTTGGCTAGCCATCCATAGCTAGAGATAACAAAAATGAAAAATCACATCACTTCAATGGCCCAAGTGGCTTTGCTTCATAGAGGCCTAATAGTGTGCAAAAAATTAGCAATATTCTGGATCAAACTGGGTTAAAAGAGCAGGGCAACTTTAACCCTATGCTCCTATTATAGCCCAAGTATATATCAGGGGCCTCAACACCTGCCATTTGCATTGCAAATGGATGCTTTTTTTCTCTGAAGTGAGTTCAATATAAACCAAGATTCAATGAAGTACAAAGGGTTATAGCCCTCCTGTTCTGCCATATAATTATTCCAACCTGAACCAAATTCTTAAACCAACAAAGTTCTCATCAAGATCAGGAAATCTATCTTTGATATTACTTTTAATAATGCTAATTGCTAAGTTGGTTGCTATGTCTAGTTTTACCCCAAGCTACATATGTAAGTTAAAATTGGTTCCATATAGTGTATGTTATCGAAGTGATCCAATACTTTTAAAACAGAATCCATCTCACTTAGAGTGGAAACTGTCCTCCTAGCAATAGCAACTTTTATCTTCCATGAAATGTAGAGTCCATGCTGCAATTTACACCTTCTGTATTTGCTTTGCCAAACATTGCTTTGCCAAAGGGTGACATTCAACTGCTGTTTTGCTATCAGGGCAAAGTAAATGACGATGTTGTTTGCTGGCAAAACTGCAATGCATTACTAAAATCTCTGTGTACGAGTTTTTTTTAGCATAGAAAAATTGTTGTGTAAGTGTGTGGAATAAAACTGTATTTCTAAATAGGTAGTCTCTGAAATAGCTTTCTTTTTGCAGACAGTTGCTTGAATTTAAAAAGAGATGTTCTGTTATTGAATTTGCCAGTGAATCATGCTTGTTGCTTTACCAATATTTTTCTAATATCACCCTTGGTGTTTCTCTGTTTTAGTACATGGATCATCATTGTCACTAGTTTCCAGCACTTCTTCTCTTTACTCCACAGTAAGTCTTGACCATATATTAAAAAGCTTGGAAGTTGTAGATCCCATGCATATTTTTTAAAATTGCTTTGAAAAGACATTAACATCTGGTGTGATAACTGCTGCAAGTTTATTATATGCACAAAAATGGAAAGACTCTGAAATACCCACAACAGAGGAATGGCTGGTGAAGATGACAGAACTGGCAGAGATGACAAAATTGACTTGTTAGAGAGAGGATGATAACTACGTTTATTAGTGACTGGACACCCCTTAAAGACTTTGATGAAAAAAGAAAAAAAATGAACTTGTGATTTATGAGTTTGATTATTATAAAGGCTAGACTATGGAAAGAAGGAATTTATTCTGTACTTGTAACAACTGTTAAGAAGACTGGAATCCCCTCCCCTGCCCTCCCCTCCCCTCCCCTCCCCTCCTCTTCTCTTCTCTTCT